AGAGCGGAGGGGTGGCGGCTGTTGTGGCCGCCCGGGTCGCCCCGCTGCGCGGCGGGGGCGGGCCGACTGAAGCCGCCGCGCCGCGGCCTCACAAAGAGGAAACAACCTACCACCGACCCTCAGTACCGGCACTGGGACCCGCCCAGAGGGGCTGGGGGCGGCTGCGCTGAGACCCCGGGAGGAGCGCGGCGAGAAAGAGGCACTTCCTGCCTGGGCCCCCAGCCCAGGGGCCGGTCCTAGAGAGCTTTGGTGAGATGTGCGGCTGCCAGCGGTTCTTCGCTACCCAGCTGGGATGAAGCCCCTCGGCTACCAGAGTCTCCAGTTTAGTCAGGCCCTGGCCTTGGCCCCGCCTCTCCCTGGTTGGGCCTCAGCGTCAATCACCCACCGTGGTTCCGCCCCTTCCAGAGTCGCCTCTCCCGGTTGGTCTAAAGCGCCCTTCATTTCTAGGCCCCGCCCCTCTCTCGACACCCTGCCCCTTCCGCTGGGCCCCGCCCCTCTCAGGGCTCGCCCTCCCCCACTCCGGCTCCCGGGGGTTTCTGGGCCCACCCCTCCCTGAAGCCGCAGACCCGAGGCGAGCTTGCCGCGACTCGTCCCGCCCCTGACCTGACACCTCAGACTCATGCAGCCAATAAAAGAGATTAGCTCTGCCCCTTCTCCCTTCGTGGCCAATGCGGTGAGACTTAGGATCCTCCCCACCCCCCAGCTGAGCGCACACAACACAGCATCCACGTGAGTCAGCTTCTTAAAGGAGAAGACACAGCTTTTCTAATTGCGGCAGCTGGGAGGCTACGCGCGTCATCAGCGTCACCAGGTGGTGGCGAAGGCCCAGCTTCCTGATGCTAGGAGGCCCAGTGATGACAAATGAAAACAGCAGGCTGTTTTCTAGACAAAGCAGGTACCCAGATAGTTAAAGTACACTGTGTAATTCATTTTTTGGAGGGAGCTCCCTTAGCTGCCCTTTGACTATGAAAAACATCTGTGGAAAAGAGTTTTCAAGTGCGCTAAACTTTATAACTCCCCGGAGCTTTCTCTTGTTAGTGGAAATGATTCTCAAAAAGATAAGCGAATTAAACCTCTACACGGAGATTTTTTTCCTCAGAGTCTGAGATTTGTTGATAGGGGAGCTTTTTCCTTAACTCATCAATGCTTAAAATGGACCGTTTTACTTCTCCTTCTTATCCAATTTGTAATTAAATCTTTATGGCTGATTTTCAGGGTAAAGCAAAAATGTTTGAGATGCCTGTTTCTCACAAATAAAAGTACAGACTAGGGAGGGTAGAGGCTTGGTGATTGGGGCAGCTGGATCCCCCGCGGCCTACACAAGGTTCCAGTCAGGGACCCCACCACTTGAGAAGCAGCGCGCAGGCCAAGCCCTCTGTGCCTGCAGTGCTCAAAATCCCAAAGGGAGGAGATAAGAGAAGGGATTGTGGCGTGATGTTATGACCGTTCCCCCCAAGGTGCACTTTCTCCTCTCCCTTTGTCAGTCTTTTTGGCAAGTACATGCCCTCAGGCATTTTCAAAAAGAAAAGGAAAAGGAAAAAGATATGGTCTTTGGGTGGGGACCCTTCTGGTCAGTAGGCCAGTGGTTGAGGGAACTGGATCCCATGTGGCTGACCACCGGGCAGTCCTGGTCCTGGCAGCTTAAAGAACAACCCAGATCCAGGTCCACGGAGAAGGATTTGCAGCATGATCACACCCCACGGGGGGTGGGGGGGGGTGCTTTTTCTGTCTCTCTAATGGCAAGCACATGGATCCTCTGACAATTGAAAAAGTCTAGGCGTTTAAAGTTATTTTGCAAGGTGTTTAAAGCCATTCTTGATGGGATAAAGATTCTGAAGTAAATCCCAGCTCTTGACTTTTTGTCAGTCCCAAATCCATTCAGATAAAGTTAATCTGAACATTAAAAGCAAAGGGACTGTTTATGTTTTGAAAAATGAGTTCCAAGAGATAAGGAAGTCTTAAACATATTTTAGATTTTTTTCTTCTCATTCTTTTGTTTTTTAATGACTTTGAGTACAAAAGTAACACATTTATTTAGGAAGGACACACTAGGAGCCAGAAGGTGGTGTGGTGGCTAAGGGTGCTGGGCTCCCACATGGCTGACCACAGTTCGAGTCCTGGACCTGGTGGCTTGCTTTCTCACTTTACATCTCTCTCGATCTCTCTCTTTCTGTGCCTCTCTGGTCAAATTAAAATCAATAAATAAAATTAAATGGAGTAAATATTTGAAAAAAAAAAGGAAGGGCACACTAGCTTCATTTCATAACAGAGACCCCTTTCTTTCACGCGTATCCTCTGTTCTTCCCCAAACGAATGTACACGGAAACATATTGTATCTCTTGTTCTCATCTTGCTTTTTCACTAAATAGTATGTTATGGCTATCTTTTCATGTCAAATGTATTTTATATCTACAGGTTTAGTTTTGTCTCTATTTCTATAGTATGACTTCACCATCTTTTATTGGACTTTTTTTTCTGTTGATGGACATGTGTATTGCCTTCAATATTTTGCCATGAAAATATGACTATAAGGAATACACATGTTCACCAATAAAATAACCATCAAATATTTATAAATACAATAATTTGAAAAGAAATACAATGTCTACACCCACAGAAATGATCATTATAAGTACCAGGTAAAACAATGAGGATGATATTTACTTTTTTAACAAATACGTATGAAATGCCTTTTGTTCTAAGTATGTTAAAATTAGTATTTTCATAACAATTCTATGAAGTAAATACTGTTATCATCCCAATTTTATGAATGAGTAAACTGAGGCATACTCTGATTAACTAGCTTGTCCAAGTTCACCCAGTAGAGTTATTGACTACATCAGTTTATAAACTTGAAAGAGAATGATGACAGTCATATTTTAGGAAGATTAATTGGGATGACAGTAAAATATGTAGAGTTGGAACCTGATTATAAGATAAGGCAGGCAAATAGCGTTGGAACCAAAGAGGCAAGTTATTTATTTTTTTTCCTTTGAGAGATTTTTGCTATAGGGCACATGTGCTAGCTGGAGATACAGAGACAGAGAGACAAAAAAACAAAAAATCATCTTCCAGGGGGAATGGCCATCCCATAATCCCTTCTCTTCTATTTTCCTCTCAGGGTTTTGGGTACACTCACCTGGTGTGAGTTTCAAGCCACTGGGTCTGAGACTTGAACCATGGTCAAATACATGGGAGTCCAGTGACATAACCATTACACCATATTATGGTACTGAGGCAGGTTTAATTTTAACGAGAATGATTATAATGAACTGTTCATAGGTGGACAAAGGACAAAATTTTCAAAGAAAAATCACGATATTAATCTAAGGACTGGTAAGGTGATGGATTTTTGCTAAATATAGGGCAATTGGGAAGGATGATTTGGGGTGAAAGAAGATGGTCCTTGAGTGATTGGTGGCACACTCATTAGAAATAAGGACTATATACATAAAGATAAGATAACAAATGTAAAAGGGAAATGAAAAACAAAGGGCAAGAGGTTTGAAAATACTCTGTTAAGTTTTTGGTTAGAGTTGTGTTATACCTAAAGAGGAATTTGGAATAAATTGATAGCTTCATTGAACTTTATAATCCTAAAACTTTCCCACCAAGAACATGGTGAATTTCTACACTTATTCAAGTGTCTTTTTATGTCTTCCCATAAAGTTTCATGGTGTAGCTGCCTTCTTTTAGGTCATTTATACATCATCTTAGGGTTATTCTTAGGTATTATATTTTTCTGAAGATGTTATAGACTGAATTGTGTCCTCCTCCTAAATTAATATGTTGAAATTATAATTACCAGTATCTCAGAATGTGACCATATTTGAATTTGGGGCCTTGAAAGGGTGATTAAATTAAAATGAGCTCATTAGGGTGTGTGCTAAACCAATCTGACTTATATCCTTCTAAGAGGAGCATAGGACACATAGAAACACCCAGGATGCCACACACAGAGAAAAGACAATGTGAGAACACAGTGAGAAGACAGTTGTCTTAGTTCGTCTTATTTTGCTATAACAATACCACAGACTGGGTTATTTGTATTAAATAAAATTTTATTTGATTCCCATGAGCCAAATAATCTGAAGTCTGGGAGTACAAAAGCATGGTGTTGGCATCTGGTGATGCTATGTGCCATTTCATCCCATGCTGGAAGATGACCCAGCAAGAGAAGATTTGCTTTTATAATAAACAACTCCAGATAAAACCAAGTTAACCCATTCATTAGGATGAAACTATTGTGGTTTAATCACCTGTTACTACTGTCACATTGGCAACTAAATTTTTTTTCACACTGTCTATTTTCTTTATTTTTTTCCA